ACGGATGAGCTGCCTGTGCACAGAGAAGCCCAGCTGTGGGCCACGCCGTGGAGGGCCACCGCGCCCCTGGATTACACACAGACGCTGTGGGAAGACAGAATGTGTGGTGGGTGAAGGCGAGAGAAAATGAGAGCGGGCAGGAGAAATCTGCCAGAAAACAGGCCGAGTCTCACCGCAGTAGAAACCAGGCTGCAGGTGATTCCGTCCTCGAACAGGCAGATGCCCCAGGAAATGCCGTGTAATCCCTAACTCCCTTCCTTCCTTGCCTTCCCCCACCGTCTCAAGCCTCTGTGAATGGAGCGCGGGCATTGTACCCGCCTCTCCCCTGCCACCTACGAAGAGTTTTACGGTCTGGTTCATATCAAATTCCTCACAGGCCAGAAATTCCTCCTCTAATGCTATTTAAAAGGCCGTATCCCAGACATGTAACAATTAATAATTAAACTTGTGTCCCTAGACTCAAAGGAAATGCCAAGGCTTTCTTATAAAGCCATTCCATGAATCAGACCTGCTCTCCTATGTCTTTAAAAAAATGTGTTTGTTACCCACCCACGTCCTGCTGTCATGACTAGATGAGGAATGTGCTCGATGGGAGGGTCACGCAGTCAGTCCTCAAGGCTGGACGTCACAGTAATGTCGTCTGACTGGGGGGGTGGGGGACTCCGCTCCGAGAAGCACATGGTCGGGACACAGATGTGTGGACGTAGTTTGCGCCATAGACAACCTGCCGGCTCCTGTCAGAATCGCCTTTCTCTTAACTGCTATCTGCTGAAGAAAGCAAGCGAGACCTCTTTAGAAAAGAAAAAGTGAGGAACTGGGGATCTGGTAAGGAACCCTGGCCAGGATGTCCCCAACCGTACCCAATGCTCCTACCCTGCCCATCAAGAAGCACAAGCCCAAGGTCAAAGAACTGGGCATTTTCTTTCATCTTCACCCCACCACATGCTGTGGCATTGAACCTCTACAGGGATAAGAGCCGCCCTCCCCATCAAATGGATCTCCAGTCTCAGACCACACGACCTCGGTCCAGGGCATGAACTCCATCACTTCCCAATCCCACGGTGGGCTCAGTTCTCTCTCCCAGCCCCAGGTCGGGCTCCTACCCGACCCTGCTCTCTGCCCTGGCAGGGCCTCCCCACCTGTCACAGGAAGCAGGGAGGCACAAGACGCTCTCATTCATTTTCACAGAATGAGAGACATTTACAGCTGGAAAGGGCTGTAGAGATAATACTTTCTCTAAAGAACCAGTCCTGGTCCTGGGGGCCCTGTCAACACGGCCACCTCCCACTTTTGCAGGGTCCCAGACGCATGTCTCCATAATACCTGGAACTCCGTGGCCATGTCCAGTGTGATCCTCATCATACAGACAAAGAGACAGGTCTGGGGAGGTGGTGTGATTCCCCCCTCCCCGCACTGCCACGCCACACAACTAGCAAGTGGCAAAGGCCGAGGCAGAATCAGGCCCGAGTGCATGCCTCGCGGCCCCACTGCCCGCACCTTACACACAGCCCCTGGGAGCCGCAGGTCTGGGCAGGCCACCTGTGACATGATGAGGACGGAAGTCCCGTGGAGACCATCCCCCCACAAAAACGACTGGAGATACAATGGGCACAGGTCTTTCCAAGTGAGAATAAAAATACTATGTTGAGGAATAACAAACGGCTCCCAGGGCACAGCTGGTCTGTTCAAGGAGTTAATGGTTCAGAGTTTATAAACATGCAAAGCCACAGTCAGACAGCAGGAGTTCCCAGGACAGCCGAGGAACCGGAACCCATCCCAAAGGAAGAGGATAGTAAAAGGTTAAAACTCGGCCCATCGTCATGGCCAAGGGCAGGGGAAAAATAAACCACCACATCCTGTTAGAGGGGGATTCACAGAGAAGGCGGACTCCTGGGACTAGAAAGAAAAACAAGACACGAGACAGAATAGACGGAGGCTAAGGACTGCACCAACTTCGCACGGTGAAGCAGTTGCGTATCTTCAGGACGACCTTGACAATAAACATCTGACACCGAAACACACACAGAAGAGTGGATGTTAAATCACTCGCAGTTGTCCACACTGCGTGTGAAGCCTTTCGATCTCGTCAAATTTAACAGCAGACCTTACTCAGGACCTGCACCGTTGGCATGGATGGCGGCCATGCAGGGGCACATTCTTTTTCATGCTCACTCAGGGGCCCTAGAGGAACTGCCGTTCCATTTCTCCAGAGCTATTAACACAGGTCAGTTTGCCCCCAGAAGGGGAGGAACTCCGTCTTGATTTAGACTTGCCCATAAAGCATATGCATCATGAGAACAGATTTATTTCTGCTTTCCCGTTTATGCAACCAGCCGGGGCTCTCCTAGCAGCATTCCGGGACCCTCGCCCAGCCTTCCTGCGGCCTCTGGCTTCTGTTCCTACCACCATCATTCATTCTGTCTCTGCCAGTTCTGGATTTTTCAAGAATCAGTCACTACATTACTGCATTCTGAGATCTGAAGCCCAGAGGAAGAGGTGGCCTTTCCCTAGGAAATGGCAAAATCACGGGGTCTCCGTGAGGGAGGGTGAGCTCCTCATGGGGCTCTTTGTTCAGCATCTTGTAACGACCTATCTATTTGCTTGCTTGGTTAGAGCTGCCCCGCCCCCGCCGCCCTGTCCAGGCTGTGGTTTTAGCCAATACAAAGACAGTGGGAAAAGAAAGTGTCAGGGCAAGAGGCAGAAAGGGAAGAGGATGATGACCACAGGGCGGTAGGAGTACGCAAACGGTGAGGGTCCTGTATGTTAAAGTCATGTTTTTAAAAAAATGTATAGTTTACATATAGCAAAATTTGCTCTTCTTAGTGTTCAGTTCTATGAGTTTTTTGACAAGCACACCGTCTCATAACCTCCACCGCTTACCAAGACAGAGAACGGACACCTCGCCCGCAACAATCCTTTTACTGCAGGACTGTGGGGAGGAAACCGAGGTGTGTTGGAAGTCGGAAGGAAGAAAGCCCTGAAAAAGGAGAAAATGATGGCACCAAAGAGGAAAGGAAGGGTTAGCTGAGGGAGTGAGACCTTGGAGGTGGTAAGGAGGCAGACAGCTGCTCGGAAGGGGTTAGTTCAAGTGAAAAGGAACATTCCCGCTTCCTGTGAGCAGAGGGAAGGATGAAAGCCCTCAGGGTCTAGGATGCATGCTGGGGTGGATTCCTAGTTGTCTTACCAGCAAAACCCAGTCCTACTCCGCAAGATGTGCAACGCCCTATCCCGCGTCTCCGGTGTTGGAGGAATTATTTCCCGTTGCCATTACCACCTGCAGGAATCACATCACAGTGGAGTGCAGGCACCGGGCTGGATTTCTTCGGGCTGCGTACCCAGATTCTGCTGCCATGCATCCCACAGCTATTTCAGAACTAACAAACTTCAGAACTCTCCAAAGTTAAGTGCACCTGCATCGTTTCCTGTACCATCCAGTGGAAAAACTTGGCAACGGAAATGGCTTCAATCCTCCTAAATTCCTGTGACAGTCGTAGATGACTCACTGACAAAGAGCTAGATGGTTTCCACAGACAAGTCCTCGGGGCATGATTTGGTCAAGTCTCTTCCTAATGCCTGTGACGTCACTTAGGTTTCTCCTCATCTGCGGGAGGCAGAAGGGTGTTAAACCCTAATTCTAAAACCGTGGGTGTCAAAAGTGGGTATCAAGTTCTGGGTCGCAACCAGCCTGTTTAACAATGAAATAGAATGGAAAACAGAAGGGGGTAAAGTGTGATCTCATGAAACTTTTGTTTCCTTGAAACATATGTCTACAGTGGACTGAAATGTGAATATGTTTCTGCTGTGGATCACAGTCGTGGTCACGTGGCCTCCCTGTGATCAAAGAGGAAATTTGAGTGTAGAAGTGTGTGGATTCTCTACTAACAGTGGGAGCCTGAGCAGGTTACTACTGAATGTCCTTGTGGCTTAGTTAGATCCATACTCTGCAAAATGGGGAAAATAATGGTATCTATTATATATGGTTGTTGAAAGGATTAGAGAGAAGATTCATGGAAAGCATTATGGACTGTGCCTGATTAATAGTCAATGCTTATTATTATAACTCCTTTTCCTCCCTAGGTCTATAGCCTAAATCTTTGTTTCCTACCAGACCTTTCTTCTGAGCCCAGAACTGTGTGGACTCAACAGCCTGCTTGACATCCACAGAGTTGCTCCACAGAGTCTTCAGCTCAACCTACCCCAACTTAGATTCAACGCATCACCACCTTCCCTCTCCGGTCCTCAGCCCTCCTACCACCACTTCCTGCCCCCAGGTGCACAGACCCTTCTGCTGCTCCTCCTGAATTCACTCTTCTATGAGAGGTGCCAGGACTTCACACTACGATCTGATTTGGAAATCCGCCTTCACAGAGGTCATGGAGTGAAAATGAGGTCACTAGGGTGGGCCTTAACGCAATATGACTGGCATCCTTAAACAGGGGAAATTTGGACACGGAGACATGCCCAGAAGGAAGTCACAGGAGAACCCCATAGAGAAGCCGGGGAATGCCTGCAGCAAGGAGAGAGGCACAGAACAGATTCTCCCTCACAGTCCTCAGAAGGAACGAGCCCCGCCCACACACCTTACAGCTCCTCAATGTCGGTTCTTGTCTCTCTGCTTGCCACTAAAGGTCCTCTCCAGTCTGGCCCCATCCTCCCTACCAAACTTTTAATTCCCACAACTTCCCTACCTAGACCTCCTCCGGATAGGTCTCCCTGCTAATCCGCATCTGGAAGACGGCTCTCCAGCTTTTCTTAGGATGTTCCGGCAGCCTGTTATGTCCAATCCACTTCTCTCTTCCACCTACACTTGCACGTTCTCTAAGCGCTAACTGTAGTCCCTCTTCCTCGATTATACCGCCCCTGGCTTTCTGGCCCGTGGTCACCTCCCTCTCCTCTGAACCGTCTTTGTGCTTATCATTCATATCATGTAAGATGACACTTCATTATGTCTGATTCACATAGTTTCCTCATGGGTTAAATTTTCTTCTAATTTGTTTTCTAGATGTTTCCTGCATGGTTTGTCTCCTCAGTCACTGACTATAGGACTCTTGAGAAGCTGCAGGAATATGCAGGTGCAGATTCAAGACCTGGCTTTCTCTCCAACGTTGTGGAAAGGGACTGTGCCTCACAGGGCAGAGCCCTGTGCTCCCCTATGCCACCTGGACAGAGCCCGGGGACAGTGACATCCTGGGGCATCCACGCTGGCTAGAGTTAAATTTTAATAATTAATCTCGATTGCAAAGCACTTTCCCAGACACCTTCCTAGATTTATTTTCTCAATAAAACATGAAGCTCTAAATGAAACCTAGAGCTTCCCACAATCCTTACATGACTTTATCACTTGTCATACAATGGAGTATTATGGAGCACTTTGGTTTAGAGAGAAGGGCGTCCCGGTATGAGTCCTAACTCTGGGGTTATGGGAAAAATCACTGGTCTTCTCTAAACCTCACTTTCCTTGCCTCTAATGTGTCACCTCTCAGAGCCCTTGTAAAGATACGATGGTATAATTTATGCAAGTGATTTCTTAAAGGTTAAGATTTGCTCAAATGTGAGATTAAATCATTACTGTCATCTCAGTGCCACGTTAGCTCAGCTCAAAGTTACCTGCTATGCTGATGAAATGATGGGCTTGAACCAGTGAGCTGGTTCATCTGGATTCATGCCACAGGGGCCAATTAACTTCATGGCCGATAAAGGGTGAGAGGAGCAATGGGGAAAACAGCACAGCACATCCGGAGGGGTAAGCAGGTCATCTCATAAACGGAAGATGGACGACAGCATACCGTCACCTCAATCCACCTTAACGCATGCAGCACCCCAGGTTCTCGGGAGAAACGACTGACAGTCCCTGACATACCCAACTCCGGTGCAAAAACTCCACAAGGTTTTACCTAAGTCACGAGTTTAATGTTTTATTTTGGGTTTTCTTTTGTAATTGAATTCTACTGGTTTTAAGACTAAAAGCTAACCAAGAATTGATAAACTATGCCTGCAATACAAAAGGCAAGTCAACCTCTGACATTTAGAATCTCGATATGGTTCATCCCTTGAGCATATTGAATTAAGAAAGAGCCAAACCCTCACTCCCATTTCCAATGAGGATGAGCTTTAGTAGTACAGAGTCAATAATCACATCCCCAGACCACCAAATTTTCCTTGACAAACCAGCCATATGAATTCAGACTTTAAAATAAAAATTTAAATGTTTGTACTTTAAAGGGGTTCAATTAGCCCTGGCTGGTGTGGCTCAGTGGATTGAGCACTGGCCTGTGAACCACAAGGTTGCTGGTTCAATTCTGGGTTTGGGCACATGTCTGGGTTGTGGGCCAGGGTCCGACTTGGGGGCTTGTGAAAGGTAACCAGTCCATACATCTCACTCTTCAACATTTCTCTCCCTCTCTCCCCATCTCTCTAAAAATAAATAAATAAAATCTTTTTTTTAATGAAGGAGTTAAATTCACTTTTTTTTTTTACTTCATCTTCAGTATTTGTTTCACAAATTTTATACCCTGGCCAAGGATTTCGAGTGAGTCAAGTGACTGTTTTTTAAGCTGCAAATGCCAAATAAGCATGCATATCGAGTGTAATTATTGTAGCAGTCAGTATGCATAAAATTTAGAAAGCTAGGCCCTGACCTTCTAGGAACAGAAAAACAGATCTCAGACACAAGCAGGAGTACTGGGCTTCTCCACCTGGAATGACCTGGTCCCTCCGGTCTGCAGGTGAACTCCAGTTTCCCTTAACCACCATCAGCTAAGGAAAGGGCTGAATAATGAAGACAGAAGACCAAACTACTCGTAGAGAGACACCCGGCAGCACTTCGGCAACTGCATTTACCCAAAGGACTGGATGAGGAGGCAATGGTTTAGGGGAAAAATCTAGGAAGAGAAATCTATTTAGTTCTATTAGATTCAGTTTTAGCATGGAGCATCCTGTGTGCAATAAGCCCAACATGCCAAGAATATTTTGTACCACATTATAAATAAAAACCAGCTCCCGTGCAGATGGAATTCAGAATTTCATCACCCAACAAATCTGTCTTCCTCTCATTACAGAAACTGCTTTAACTATTCAAAGCAGATTCTTAATTATTTTCCATTCTTGACATTGTAAAGACTTTTTAGAAAGTAGTATGAATTTGATCTGTAAGAGATGCTTATTAAAGACTCAGGAACGAAACAAACAAAAAAGATTCAGTAAATTTGCCTAACAATGTATGTGGGCAAGTAGAATCCTTGTAGAGGAAATCTCTGAGAAATCCAACGTGCTTTCTTTTCATGAAATTGTGTTAACAATGAATAAAACACACCTTCTTCTGTGGGATCTGTAGCTGAAGTGGAGCTATTAGAACAAATCTCATGAGAAAAAGGAGCACTTTGCACAGGCCCCCCCAAACCCTTCTCACCCACACCTTCCCCTTTCAAGTTCCTAGATCTTTTCATGTTGTCTTGGTGGATGTTTTGGCAGCTTGAGTGCGGTTTAGCCTTCAGGTATTAATTTCTCTGTACTTCAAGTTTCTCAACTGAGACATTTGCGGGGGGGATGGGATAAAGGACCCTCAAACGGTAATTACTACTTAATGGCCGAAAATAGGGGAAAAGGGCAAAAAGACTGCAGTCAGCTTCCGCTCATCCTTCCTCTAAGCAATGGCATCCTGTCCCATCACCTCTTTGTGCAAAATGACCATGTGGCTTCCACGTGACGGGGACAAAGGGCAGCGGCTACCACGTAAGGGTCCTGTCATAGACTGGGTGGCACCACACAGGGATGAGGCCCTGCTTCCCTAAAATGCAAATGGCTTTGTAAAAGAGAGTTCTTCTTACTAGCAGTTCTTCCTACTGCTAGTAGGAAACAGAGACCACGTTCTCTAACTAGTTTTTACATTTTAGTTTGATCAGTGGCTTCATTCATATTGGCTCAGATTTAGAAGAGAAAGACATCAAGTCTTGGCCATTTGTTTTCTGCAGCAATTGAGAAGCAAACATTCAGCCCATGTGAGTAACTTTTTATCCACTTTGCTTGGGTGACTTCTGATTGGCCGTGCTAAATAAGGGGGTATCCACAATATGTGCTTGCATTTCATGAGAGGTTCACTTTTATAACCTCCTCCTCTCACTAATATGGCAATTATTTTGCCTTTTAAATAAGCAGAATCCAATGCATGGGGTTAGTAGAAGCAGCCCTGGACATGCTGAACAATAAACAGGAGCCAGCTGTCCCAAATCTGCAAGGAGACGATTCTCTCACCAATACCAGGGAGATGACTACCCACTGAGATGGACTGTGTGCTGCTAAGGCAAACTGTGCAGTTAATCTTGAATTACAAAAAAAAGTGTGGGTGTCAGAACTGACCCCAAGCTTCCCTTCTTTTGAGTATCCTGTAAGTTCCTGCCCTTTCCCTTCCCCCTCCTTTGCTTTTAGTTCACTATTTTAATTCCCAGCAGAATCATAACTAAGGCAGGTTTCCCAGCAAATAAGATAGACGGGCCCACTCCCATTGTATCCAGTTGAAGAGATACAGGCAAGCTAAGAAGATGCAAATCCCATTCAATGTGGCTAATGCCTTTTTTATCCCTAAGCAAAAGACAAGAAAACTCTCCCTCTTTGGAGATTTTATACTACAGCATTGATACCATTGTTGAATGTGCAACACTAATTTAAATAAATTGCATGTACTCAGCAAAAGAGTCAGTCCTTTGTTTAGTCTAAGAGGCTATTTTCACGATTAAGGAGACCTGATCTCATCCTCTTAATTAAGGCAAAGCTCAAGGATATCTATCATTTACCCTCCAGCCAGTTTGATACTGGCCCACTTAAGTGTTGAGCGGCATTATAGGAATCAAGCCAATTACCAAATAGGAGTCTTGGGTTTAAGTAGAAGTGTAACTTTGCCCAGGTCATGTTGAAAGAGCCAAGAACACACCTTCTGATACCAAAAGAGCAAAGCTCAGGTCAAGGGACCATCTTGATCTCTTTGGGAAGTGGGTGTAGCTGGACTAGGGAAGCGGGTCCTACCATAGCCCTTGACAGTGAACAGGTGGAAGAAGGATGCTCACTAATGTCTGAAGGTACCACCCAGGCTTGAAAATCCCTTCAAGGCTTTTGCTCTTCCTTTTATACTGTTGTACTTTTCAGTCATAAAGCAGGGGACATCCTGTTGGCTGGCAGACTCAGTTTGATGTACATCTTTCCTTTCTTCTACCTGATTGGACAGTGTTAAACACAACTGTGTCTACCTGATCTTTCACATTTTGGGTCTTAGGCCAAATCTCTCTTTTCAGGAGTCTTAAACTGAGAGACTTCATTTTGTTTGGGGCTGGGTCCTCAAAACCATCATCTCTGAAGATCAGCAATGGAAGCCCCGGAATTCTGGTCCTGATCCTCATGGCAAATAAGCAGGTCAGCAAGACTCGACACCTCTCTGGTATTTTGGTTGAAAGCAATGGCTATGTTGAAACTAAAAAAGACATCCTTCATTCACCAGCAGGAATTCTGAAACCTGGAACACACTTACAATAAGGAGATAGTGATTTAAAAGGCTAATCACCTCCCAGAACTGCAGTTGCCTCCAGCGTACTTCTACAAATTGCTCTGGTTCCAAAAGCCTGTACTCTTAGCTTGATTCGTTTCAAGCAGTTAAGGCAGAAGTGAATCTGTAGCCACAGCTTCTATTTGAGCACATTTAAACGGTCATAAATTAATAAAGATGCTGACAGGCACTGGTTTTCTTGGACTCAAGAACACATCCTCATCTCCCTGGCCAGCCCTTCTGCCTAAATAGTTTCATCTAGATAATACAGCATATCACAAAAAAGAAGAATGTACTGAAAATCCAGGCTGAAGATATATTTGTTCAAGGATTACGATGAGAGTCAAAGGCAGGATATGCAAAAATACTAGAAAGGAACCAGCATTAGTAAACAAAACATTTGCCAACAGAAGCTCAGTTTCTGAGATTGAATTTCTATGAAACTCTAAAAATATAAGTATAAAAGCTGAGTGGCCAAGAAACAGTGGCTCAGTGCCCTTAGATTCACTCCCTCCTTTCACCTACCCTTTACCTATTTATCTCAAAGGTTCTATGTGACAAGTCTTCTGATTCTGACCACATATTATCCCTATCAAAGACCGTTCTCTTCCAGAGAAAATAATAAACTAAACTCACAGATGACGTGCAGGGAACTCTTTCAGACCTGCCAACT